GAACACCGGCCCCCCCACGACACCGACCGAAACGCCCCAGCCCCACAGAGCACCGAAACACACCCCACCGGGGCGGGGAAACTTTTAATCAATTTGACTGTATGATCTGGTGAACTATAAAGTGACTTTAGATGACATGTGTTGTGAATTGACGCTATATAAATAAACTTAACTGAATTATAACCATCACTGTTCTCTACAACCTCAATAAGTTGCTACATTCAGCACAGTTTCTGTCTTAATCAGTTAAATAACAGGCTGTTGTCATCTTGCACATCTCTGGTGTTGCTGCTATTTTCTACTACTGTAAAAAATGCTTATGTAAAAATGTCCACAGCTGTTTATTGATTATTTATGCTCTAGGTGCACAGTATTTATATTCTAAAAACACTTTACAGTACAGTATTTTATGTGTCTATTTTTTTTTTTTACTCTTTCACTTATTCTCTTATTTTTATAATTTTTTAAGGTCCACATTTGTGTGACCACTTTTCCAATAACCTTTTGCTGCTGTAACACCACAATTTCCTCATTGTGGGACAAATAAAGGGATTTTCTATTCTACTATTATTTTCTTGTAATCTCACCTTGGCTTCAAAGAAGGTGAATTTCAACCATCGTATAACACCTGCAATCAGTGGCTGTTTCTGAATAGATGATGTGACACTATGCCCAGGATATTACAGTCTTGTTGGTGACATACACACTTTTATTTTATTAGTCTCTTTAAAAACTGGTATCTGTTTTTGGTATATCCCAATTTAATTTATATAACTTGACTAATTTAAAATGGTAACATATTCTCTGGAACATAGTTTGAATGCAAAGGTTTCTAAAGCAAAACAAAAAATAAAGTTCAGGAAATATTTGTTATTTTTGTCTCAAACTTGTGGAAAGACAGACATATATTGCAATATTAAAAATACTCAGTGGGTGGTTTATGTAAACACTGCTTTATGAAGCTGTGAACTGACTTCATTTTGGGATTGTTTCCTTACAACAAGTACATTTTCACCATCTCTTGTGTGATAACTCTTGACCCCTCCAGGCCAGCAGAGGGCCTTTGGTAACTGCAAATATTGCTTCTGCCTTGGGCTGGCTCTACTTGCTTTTTAGTACTCTGTATACTGCTTCCACATTCTGCTGAGTGCCTTTAGAGCTGTTAGTTCCAAGCTATTAAAAAATATCTTCTTTAATGGAGATTTTTGTGTTTTGAATGCATTTTATTGTCAGAGTATCTTTCTGACTATGAGCAGTGCCT